GACGAGATATTGAGCAGCCACCACCCACCTTAGTTGTTGAAACCATTAGTCTTGAAAGAATAGAATCCCACAAAGTATTAGGGTTAACGATCCAGAATAATCTGAAGTGGGATTTGCATATCAGTGAGATAGTAACCAAAGCATCAAAAAGACTACACATCTTACGAGTTCTCAAGCGCAGTGGAGTTTCACCGTTTCATTTACTACGAGTACATTCTGCACTTATTAGATCCCTGCTTGAGTACTGCTGTCCGGTATGGAATTCATCATTGACCATTAACTTGTCAGATAAAATTGAACGGGTCCAGAAGCGCACAATGCGAATAATCTACCCCACATTAAGCATTTAATACCACCTTCTCGGGCCAATGGACACAATTGTAATTTAAGGTACGGAAATAGATTAACACTGTTTCCTTGTAAGACGGAGCGCTTTAAGAAAAGCTTTTTTCCTACTATGTGTATTCAATCACATAATTTATAAATTTTGTAAATTTAAAAGTTCTTTCGATATTAATTCATAGATCAGTAAACTATTGTTGTAATATAATGCCAGTAACACAAGGTACTTTTTAATACTTTTGACTAAAGTTTGTAAATAATTTCGCAGTTCGCTTTCATCGAGCGCGACGATTTTTATAATAAACCATTAATAATAAGTTCTTCATGGTAACGTTTCAGTAACCATGGAGGGATCTCATCTGAGCCAGTGGCCTTCCTCGGATTTAGATGTTTAAGGGTAGCCTTAATTTGTCCGATGGAAGGCAACGGGGGACTGGTATCATTCTTAAGTAGGTGTTCAATTTCCCCAACGTCCGGAATTTCAGTGGGATTGGCATTCTGCCAAGGTTTGGTGAAGCTTTGTTGCAGGCGTTCCGCTAAGTCTGCTGCATCAGCTGGTGGTTGAGAGTTACAGTCATTAGCGGCAGCAAGTTCAAATATGGTTTTGTACCACTTTGCCGGATTCGTTTCGCGTGTACCCTCTGCTTTTAGTTGATATATAGTAATTCTTTTTCGCATTTGATACAAGCGAGCTAACTTTGTCACATAATAGTTTGTACCTTGTTATATCTCCAGATTTAAACGCCTTTTGACTAGCTTTTATTTCATGCTTTATACGCGGTGTCATCCACGGCTTGTTGGAGGGGTGGGCACGTACAGTGCGCTTAGGCAGCGATTTATCAAGCATGCGCACGATAGTACAAGTGAACGTACTTACTTTGTCGTCAACCTCTCTGGCATCGTAGACTGTTTCCCAGTTCTCTCCATTCATATGTATGCCCAGTTCGATTAGGTTACTACATTTCGTTAGGCGCACTTTTAGGGAGACCGGTTTAACCTTTTGTTTCAACTTTGGGGTGAGCAGTAAGCACTGGTGGTCGGAACGGCCGATCGGTGGCAGATGTTGAACATCATTGTATAGCTCTGGCATATTGGTAAGGATTTGGTCTAGAATATTTCTACCTCTTGTAGAAGCCCGTACGGGTTTTTTAAGGTTGAAACGTCTACATAGTGGGTTCAGTCTCATTTTGTTGAAATCTCCGGCGATAATTACGCCAGCTGAAGGGTGGTCCTGCAAAATGTTGTCAAGTCCGCTAGTAACACACTCGTACATTGCTCTTTCATCTTCAATTGTCTGTCCAGGTGGGTAGTACACACCAATAACTATCATCGCGCTATAGGGCCTGGGGGTTCTGGGCGGTTTAAGTAAGAGCCATAGGACTAATTCTTTCCCATCCTCTTCAAGATTTCTTAGGCGGGTAGTTAGTATTTTGTTATTCACGTATAGGCTAAGACACCGCCACCAGGCGTGGAACGATCACGACAATGTGCATTGAATTTATTGCTTATTTCCACAGCAGCATCCGGGATGTTTGAGTTCAGCCAAGACTCTGTAATTATGATCAAGGAGGGGTTATTGACTGTGGCAATTCCAGAGAGTTCAGTTATTTTGTTCGTTACATGACATGCGTTGGTTAAGAGTATAGATGGAACTGAATAGGCAATTGATGATTCACATATATTGTTTTTCCTTATTGGAATAAGTATTAAGTTACGACTGAGTTTTTGGTTAGTAGACCTCTGTACTAGTCGACGGTTGGTTATTCTAACCGGGATGGTTTTAGACTCATTATTCAAACGATTAGAAATTGGACCAAAAGATGTATATGCCAAGTCAGGTATTACGTACTGGTTCTGGTTATTTGGTTGACTAGGTCCAAATATTTGAGCCAGTCCGGAGGGCGACGGTTCGAACGATGTTGCCGAAAATTTATCAGGTTTGGCCGCAGGCAATTATTTGTATTTGTTCTAGAGAGAGACAGGATGAAATTTGGTGGTTAGATACTTTAGATACTTTATTAAATTAATTCAAAAGACGTTACAACATACAATACTATCCGCTAATAGCTTAGCTAATCGAGGCGGATAGTAAATTAACACTCCTGTATATAATATATATTTACATGCTCATGAGTTATATTTAGAAGAAAAAGTTGTGGATAATATATATAAGCAGCCAATTCGATTCTGATCTATGGGAAATAGTTAGAACCAAAATAAATAGGAAAGCTACACACAAGACAATAATTCATTGTTTAGCCATCAATTGTATTAACGTAGGCACACCAACATAATCGTCCTCAAGTTTTAGTATAGTTAAGAGCGTTTTATGTATTGTTTTAGTAAACTTATTTTTTCCAAATTCACGTACATTGTCGGAAATATTATTCCATATTTTTGCTCCGAGTTTTACAAAAGATTCATTATGTTTGTTTAATCTTGAGTATTGAATGTAGAAATTGTTAGCTGTGCAGTGTCTAGTGTTATGGGTGTGCATATGTCTTGCCTGGATAAAACAATCAGAAATTGCAGACGGACAAGAACTATTAGAGACATCATACATTAAGTTACACATAGTTTTATAATATAGCATATTTAAAGGAAGGATATTTAAATTACTAAACAACGGGATGGCATGTTCTTTGTTATTTTTAAAATTAATCAGGCGCAAAGCCCGTTTTTGGAGAATGAGAATCTTGTTTAAATAAATATTTGATGCCTGTCCCCATACAATTATACCATAGGTTATATATGGCAATATTAAACATTGATATATGCTAAGTAAGGTTGAAAGAGGTACAAAATGTCTAAGCCTTGTAATTATTCCGATGGATTTACTTATCTTAGATGAAATGTTGTCTATATGATACTTCCAGGTAAGACTACTATCAATTATTACCCCCAGATATTTGATAAACTCTTTGCACTCAATCTCAGTTAGTTTGTTTGTGTCGTTGTTAAACATTTTTATGCTGACTTGAAAATTAAGCTTTTTTTGATATGGACGAAAAATAACGTAATTCGATTTTTTTAAATTGAGTGTTAATTTATTCGCATTTAGCCATTCGCAAACTGCCATTAATTCTTTGTTGACAACTGTTTCAAGAGATTTTATATTTTTATTAGCGTATAATAAATTTGTGTCGTCGGCAAACAGATAGAATTTGAATACTTTGGATGATATATGAATATCATTTATATAAATTAGGAAAAGTAAAGGCCCAAGGACTGAGCCTTGCGGAACACCAAATCTTATGATTTCTTTCGATGATATATTTTCTTCAATTTGGATTGTTTGCATCCGTTCTGTTAAATATGACTTAAACCAGTTATTAATAACACCGCGAATGCCGTAATGCTGTAATTTGTGTAAAAGTATAGTGTGGTCAACAGTATCAAATGCTTTCTTTAGGTCAATAAATATACCACACGAGAACAATTTTTTGTTCATGTTATTTTGTATGTTATTAACGATGTCAGTAATGGCGTGTTGTGTGGAATATTTTGCTCGAAAACCATATTGTTTTTCATAAAAAGTCTCGTTTTTATCAAAAAATAGTTTAAGTCGTTTGTACATTAATTTTTGAAATAATTTGGTTAAAATTAGAGAGCAGCGAGATTGGTCTATAGTTTCCTGGGTCAGTTTCATCATCAGTTTTATAAATTGGAACAACTTTGGCACGCTTTAGTTTTGAAGGAAATACTCCTGTTTGAATTGAAAGATTTATTATTTCAGCTAGTGGCCAAGATATTTGCTGTTTTATACATTTTAGGATGCGTATAGGACACGAGTAAAGTCCATCTGCTTTATTACAAGGCATTGAAGTAATTTCAAATTCAACCTCAGAGGGGATAACAGGGTTATAAAAGAACGAATTGAGATAATTGTGGCTATTAAGGTATTGACTAAAATGTGTGTTTGAGTTGGGTAATTTAGAAGCTAATTTCTTAGCAATGGTTGAAAAATGTTTGTTTAGAATGTCAGGAATATCTTTGGGATTCTTGATCATTTCCTTTTTAATTGGGCATCTTAATGCTGTGATCGTTTTATGGTTCTTTCTCTTGCGGTTTATCAGGTTGTTTATGCCCTCCCACGTTTTTCTCATGTTTGTAAGGTTGTTATTGAAATATTCGTGGAAATAAGATTTTTTGCTAATTCGTGTTAAGATTGTTATTTTGTTTCGATATAGTTTGTACTTGTTTTTGTCCGCAGAATGATATAATTTGTTTTTTATTTTAATTGACCTTCTTATTCCTTTAGTTATCCATGGTTTAGAAAATTGCTTTATCATTCGTTTAGAAATAAGTTTTAATGGGGAATATTTGTTTGTTAAATTATTTACTTTATCGTAAAAAGCGGTGAATAGTTTATCTATATTGTCCCTTTTATTCGCGATTATAGAATTCCAATTAATTTGTGCTAAATCAGCATTAAAACCGGACTCTGAAAAATGAGAGAAATCTCGAATTTTTTTCTGATGTTTTGTTTGCCATTTGTCTGGTTGATTGATGCAGAACTGTGAAAAGTGATCGCTAATATCTGACACAATATTCCCGCTTACGATTGAATTTTCAACTTTATTGACAAAAATATTGTCAATTAAAGTTGCTGAGTTGTTATACACCCTAGTGGGCTTGTCAATTGTTGGTATTAAAGCATAACTTTGAAGAGTAAATAAGAAATTTTGAGTATATTGGCAAGTTTGAGCCTTGAGGAGGTTTATGTTGAAATCACCCATTACATATATAGGTTTGTTTGAGCCTGAAGCGCTAAATTTATCTAGAGTGTCTTCAAAATATGTTTGAAAGCTTTCTGGAGAATTATGTTGCCTATACACTACTCCACATATAATGTTTTGTTTGTTCTTAAAGTGAATTTCAACCCAAAGAGCTTGAAAAGCTTTATTAGAAGTTTTTTCTAAAACTGTGTAACTCAAGTCATCTCTAATGTACATTCCCGCACCACCCGATGCCAGCGGTGTTGGAACAAATTCAAATTTATAGTTAACTATCTCAGGATTAAAGTCAGTAAATTTATCATCCCTGATTTTAGTTTCAGTAATTCCTATTACACTAAAGTTGAAATCAAGTTCTTGTAATAAATGGGTTTGAAAATTTTCCAAGTTGCGTTTCAAGCTCCTCACGTTGTTATGTAACATCGAGAAACTAGTATCTGTGATACGATTTGACTGTGATTTCTTAAGACTGTTGAATTTATGGGGTGAATAATATTGAGATCGTAAAATCTGGTTATTTAAATTTACATCGGGATTCGCATCAGAGGCTGTGTTCAAATTAAATAAGCCCAGGTCACACATACTAGGATAATTATCAAGGTCTTTTATAGTGGGGAGGTTTGTAGTTAAGCTATTGTTGGGGCTAAGGATTTGACTTAGAACTAAATTATTGACATTATAAAATGGCAGTTCACGTAATAGTGACTTGGACAGTTGAATATTTGTTTTATCGTTCCCATGCATCTTTAGTTAGGCTATTATAGTATCTATGAGAGACAAAGATTTCATTTTACTTAGCTTGAAGGCACATCGTTTGAGTTCTGCAATCTCAGAAGGTCGTTAAGTTCATTTATTCTAATAGCTCGAGCACTGAACATGCAAATTAGTTTCGTCTGGATCGTTGAATTGAGCATTAGTCGCTTCCTTAATTTCATTTTTGTATTCTAAAGGTTCAAGCAAAGGTAGCCATTTCAACCATTCGTGTGGTTGTTTGCTAGGTAGACTGTGTTTATATTTCTTTTCGCTTTGATCCTAATCGCTATGTTCTATTCTGTTATTCGTGTCGCACAGGGGCGGATCCAGGATTTTTCGTACGTTAGTCAAAGTTTTCGGATTTACAATCTAGTTTTGTGGGCGGCGAATGCGCGAGGCACCTAGGGGGGTATAATATTTGCGGGCGGCGAATGCGCGAGGCACCTAGGGGGTTATAAATGTTGTTATATTTTTAAACAATTTGCATCACTCTGAAAGCAACTTCAACAAAAAATTAACTTCATGAAATGGTAGATAATATAGCAACTATCAGTCTGACTGATTCTCACAACTCGCTCCTTAGGGAAAAGTAAAGGAGAAGTACTTGCAGAAATGTGATAATTGTGGAAGATGTTTCATTTTATCAAATTACGGATTGCTAGTGTTATGTTTAACTATCTCATGATAGTACTACACTAATTATTGTTGCCTAATAGCCTTGTTGAGTCATTGATCACTTGACTAGTAATCACTACAGTGTCATATTACTCAAATAAACATATCAATATTAAAGTCTGTCTTAACATTCATCTATAAAACCTGACCTTTATATCCTATGTACACTGCAGTAATGCATTTATATAGGTTATCCTCCATATTAATAGCCTTCTGAGTTCTGACAGACCTTCAACCGCAGAATTACAAATATGCAAATTTGTTGTGTAAATCAAAATTCATAGCTAAATTACTAAATCTAAATCAAGATACGCGTATTCAAGTTACAATTTTACATATGCATGGAGCGCATCTTGTTCGCTTATAAATATTGTTATGCTGTCTAAAACGAAATAAAATTTACATATCACATTAAATTTACCTTATTGCACTTCAGAATAAAGATCTCGGCGCCAATACTTCTACTCAAACAGTCAAACTGAACTGTAGTTCGTGACTGTTCGTCCTATTCGTGGCGCTTACGCCGATTAGCAACTGCTCACTGAATGGAACTCTCAGATATTTAGCGTTGATTTTCCTCCCAAGATCAGCGCAACAGTCTTGTAAGACAGCTAAATCATTGACCACAAATGCGGATTGAACCGTTTCGTGAATACTACAAGGACTGGAGTCTGGAGCTGTGGAGCAGCTACAACATGACACTTCGAATGAGTGCGCTCTGAAAGACTTTACCGCGCGTCAAATATTAATGGTATTCCGACTAATGGAGCGCCCCTGACTTTTGTAAATCGGTCAGAACTCCCCACAGATCAGTCAAAATCGCAAAAAATCGCTTGTTACCATGGCAATAAGCGTCTAGACCAATCAAAACACTGGATTTTGACTTTTTGACTGACCGACTTTGCGTATGTCAGCTGCTCATTGACTTGACTAAGCTCGTCGGCTCAACCACTGTGTGAAATTTGATCACTGGACTACAGTTCGATTGGAATGTTAATTGCTAGCGCTGCATGATAATAGATACTGGACTATTATAAGGTGTCGCTGCATGATAAAAAATAACTGGACTATTGGTCGAATATTTAAGGCTTCAATTAAGTTTGCAATTTTTACGTTAGTCGCGTGACTGGTTTGACGACCCCTAGATCCGCCCCTACTGTCGCAGTGTGTGACGTCTGTTGCGCCGTTTGCCATTTGTTTTAGACTATTATTTGTATTCAATGATGTTTTATGGCCTTTGTATTTGGTGTTAGGTTTAGGTTTAATTCTGCGTATGACGCTTTGTTCAGAAGAACAATCGGCATCTCGAATAGCTTCGCCTTGATCATTGTATTGAATGTTAGTCGCTTCCTTAATTTCACATTTGTTTATGTGGGAAATTTTGTCTGTCTTATTTAGTTCTAGGGGATCAAGCGCCTGGTTCAACCACTCGTTTTGATCTTGATTGCTTTTTAAATTAACGCGTGATTGATTTGTATTTTCATCCAAGGCCGGGGGTTTTATAATCGATATTTCGACATTGTTTAACTGATTCAATGGAGGTTGTATTGGCGGCGAGGATATCTATAGGATAGGGAGATCTCACCCACACTTCAGAGGTTAGGATCTCCGTTTCTGGAAATCCTATTAGGGGAGCAAATTCATTTAAATGTACGTTCACCCTGGTTGCCGGATAGATTCTGCAGGTATTATTGTGTGTGTTACGTTCTATTGTTATTCCGTCTGCCTTCAGTTTTTTCTTTAATTATTGCATCAAAGGTCCAGTAGCCATCTTCGAAGGTAATCTTCTTTTGTCCATAGGTAATATTATCGTTGACATTCACACGTACGCTTTTATAAACCCAGTAGATGGTTGCATTCTTTAGGATTAATTCTGACTCTGCGTTCGTCGTAATACACTTGTCCGGGAAAAACTCGGTAGTTCCATCTTCGATAAACACTGTTAACTTCTTCATTTTTTATTACATGGATTAAATAAAATGAGTACCGGTGGAGACATATTCCGTGACTATTACGGACAGAACTATGAAAAAGTAAAGGCGGCAGCACCCATTGAAAGACGGAAGATGAAGGAAGATTTTAGGAAAAAATATCCGGGTGCGGAAATGTCCAAATTTGAATTTCAGGTTACATTTGCAAGGGACGGAACTTTAGAAACCAAGGACATATTCTTTAAGGTTACCGACCTGGAAAGTTACGACATCACATCCAGCACATTCAGGGGAAATAAAAAGTGGACGTGGTATCTTTACCAATGGGAGAGAATATGGGGTAATTATGGGTCCGTTCAAACCTTCAGACATAACAGGGATCCACTTCCATACAAAATAAATAGGTTTGAAATTTACGTTTGCGACTGCACCAACACCTCTCACAGCAGCTTTGTATCCAACTTCGCCGATCTTAGCACAAAGTGGACTGGTACCGCAAAGGATATCACCAGGATAAAGTTCAATTATATAAACGATCCTTATTTTGCATCGATACTGGCTGCTTACATTATCACGTATAAGTGTGGAATAAGTACGGAACATCTGCTGGAAAGCAAAGGAACCTCAAAGATAATCACAAGTATTGCTAGGTATCACCTATACTACCACATGCGTAGGTTCCTCAGAAATCCAAGCAAAATGACAAAGTATGTAACGAAGGATATGCTAGAATCCCTGCAGAGAAACATACCCACACAAAAAACGTGGGTTAACAAGTTCCACCGGGGACAGACGGAAATAGGTCTTTGGCATAGCAGACTTCCGGATAAGAGTAGGGTTAGAAACTACAGGTATTCATACTACCATACCGGTGGTGTATCAGGAATCAGCTATCAGGAAGTAGACAAGGTCACTAACAACAGCGATACGGATTACACCCAATTCATTGCTAAGAAATCAGACGGGTTGACACCTTTAGGATTAAAGTTACTTCAACAATCTATCGAGAGTTATGTCTATTGCGTATTAGGTGCGCAAGCACAAACACGTTGGTCTATAGTTGGTAAGGGAGCGAAGTCGTTACAAACTCAGCACGTATTCCACAAACTTTTCAAAGACACCATTGCGCAAGACGATGTATCGGTATCCATCTCCAACATGAGGAAAGCAATAGAGGATACTAACGTTGTACTTAACATGGCGGTATCACCGGGATTAATACTAATACCATCCAATATGATTATACTCAAGGAAAAGATAGCAGGATACAACAATACACTGACACTAGCAACAAACGACATGAAGTTTGGTAGCAATGCGAATGTTAACTACTCAAAGCCCAGGGAGATAAAGAAAAGTCCGGATGTAAAAGTCCAAAACCCTATACCATACAAAGACCGGAATCCCATACCACATCCTGACACGGTAAGCATACTACCGAAAGTATCAAACAATCTGATTTACCTTCTCGGCACTATGTTTGTTGGTGGGGTTATCACTTCGAGATGGATTTTCTTTTCGTATTAATAAAAGAAATGAGTAGCGATAGCATTAGAGTTAAGGAAAATTTAAAAAGGGACAAAACCGTCAACGTTGATATAAAACTCAGTAAAGGCGGACTGAATCTCGGTTACGTTAAATCCAAGACAACCAACATCAAGTACGTTACGTCGTGTAAGGAAGGCAAAGCAGGACCGTCAACAAAAACTGTGAAGGAAGAAAAACCAAAGTCAGCGAAAAACAAGAAGAAGAATAAATAAAATGGGATGTTTACATGCAAAACCCGAGAACACAAATGAAGTGAAGTACGACAAAAACCATCGGAAAAGGAAAATGTTCAGTTTCGGAATTGGTATAGAACGTGGTGATCTCACTATCAACGCTAACACCCAAATTGGATACGTTAGTACAACAGTAAAAAAGTATGATAGAACAAATGATCGGAACCCGAGTATTACGGAGACTAATATGGATGAGTCTGGTGTGCTGCCTACTCATCCCAATAACGGTTGAAATTCTTCTCGTCATCATCACTCTTAAATTACTATTCCAATATTAATGCTAAGTAAGCATTAAAATTTTACATGACGTCTTCTTATTTTTTACCAGTCCCCCACGTCACAGAACTATTTACCGTTGGGCGTTAGGTATACATCACTGTCGACAGGGACGATGACTGGTCAATGTATTCCCAGCCCAGTGTTTGGAATACTTTTTTACACCGGTCGTGTGAAGCCTTGCTTACTGGAATATTAAGAAGCTTCTCGTTTAACTTTATGTTATGTCTTTTACATATCTGGTAAGTTAGAATATTGAGATTAGGAAGAGATCGGAAGATCAGTTTTTTCTGCCTTATAAACTTTCCGAATGTTTTCTGCTATCGAACGTCTTTCATGTGCTGATAGATCGGAATATGTTATTTTCCTTCTGGTACAGAATGATTCGAACCTACCATCAATGTCTATTCCCCGACTTCTCGTAATCACACTGTCCCTACAATCGTGGCTGTAACCGGGATTGAGGATCCTACCAACAACTGATCCACATGACCAACACATTCGAAACCCGTCCGTGGAGACGAGATGATGTCTGTGTCCCTCAGAGCAGAAATGCTTGTTCGGAAACTTCACAGGTTCCTCTAAAGCAAGAAGATCTAGATACTCCTTTTTCGCCTGTCTGAAGAGAGTCAACCAATTTGAGGGAGGCGACTCCAACTGACGGATCTCTTCCGATACTGTCATAGGAAAGTCCATACCTTTTATTATATGGAAAATTATTTCTTTAAGTTGGTTCTGAAATTATCCTAAGTTGATTTTCTTAAACTATTTAAGGTTATGTTGCAACCAGCCCTGACTAGAATTTAACTAGACTTTAACCAGATGCTAAACCTAGTCAAGGTTATGCTGAAATCTAGTTAAGGTTATGCTGCAACTAGCTCTGACTAGAATTTGACTAAAACTTGACTGGATTTAACTGGAATTTAACTAGATGCTAAACCTAGTTAAGGTCATGCTGAAATCTAGTTAAGGTTATGCTGCAACTAGCCCTGACTAGAATTTAACTAGATCTGACTAGACCTGACTAGAAATTCCAGAAAAAGTAAGTATATTAAATAAAGTATGAATG